AGGAACTACAATAGGTTCAAGATGTCTGATAGATGTATTGTGTACGTCAAAGGGCTGTTCTCTTCAGAAGGTCTTACAGAAGTTTCCCATAGGTCATGCCATTCAATCTGGGTAAATTGTTATCACAATAAATGAACAGTGCTGCGGAGAGATAAAAAGGATGCATATGTAGCTGGCTTTCTTGTTTTGCATTTAATGATATGCCCAGATATAATTAATGAATTCCATGTACTTTGCAATGGTTTGAAGTAATATTTGCTTTCTTACGATGGAGCAACTGAGTATTACATGGAAGAGCAATGAAAAGGAGGATAAATACCATAAGGGAGTCTGGGATCAGAAATTTCTTGGATTCATAGCATCATAGAATCATAGAATCAAAGAGTTGGAAGAGACCTCATGGGCCATCCAGTCCAACCCCCTGCCAAGAAGCAGGAATATTGCATTCAAAGCACCCTGAACAGATGGCCATCCAGCCTCTGTTTAAAAGCTTCCAAAGAAGGAGCCTCCACCACACTCTGGGGCAGAGAGTTCCACTGCTGAACGGCTCTCACAGTCAGGAAGTTCTTCCTAATGTTCAGATGGAATCTCCTCTCTTGTAGTTTGAAGCAATTGTTCCGCGTCCTAGTCTCCAAGGAAGCAGAAAACAAGCTTGCTCCCTCCTCCCTGTGGCTTCCTCTCACATATTTATACATGGCTATCATATCTCCTCTCAGCTTCTCTTCTTCAGGCTAAACATGCCCAGCTCCTTAAGCCGCTCCTCATAGGGCTTGTTCTCCAGACCCTTGATCATTTTAGTCGCCCTCCTCTGGACACATTCCAGCTTGTCAATATCTCTCTTGAATTGTGGTGCCCAGAATTGGACACAATATTCCAGGTGTGGTCTAACCAAAGCAGAATAGAGGCGTAGCATTACTTTCCTAGATCTAGACACTATGCTCCTATTGATGCAGGCCAAAATCCCATTGGCTTTTTTGCCACCACATCACATTGTTGGCTCATGTTTAACTTGTTGTCCACGAGGACTCCCAAGATCTTTTTCACACGTACTGCTCTCAAGCCAGTTGTCCCCCATTCTGTATCTTTGCATTTCATTTTTTTCTGCCTAAGTGAAGTATCTTTCATTTGTCCCTGTTGAACTTTATTTTGTTAATTGTTTTGAATCCTGCTCCTGTCCTCTGGAGTATTGGCTATCCCTCCCAATTTGGGGTCTTCTGCAAACTTGATGATTACGCCTTCTAGCCCTTCATCTAAGTCATTAATAAAGATGTTGAACAGGACCGGGCCCAGGACGGAACCCTGCAGCACTCCGCTTGTCACTTCTTTCCAGGATGAAGAGGAAGCATTGGTGAGCACCCTCTGGGTTCGTCCATTTAACCAATTATAGATCCACCTCACCGTAGTTTTGCCTAGCCCACATTGGACTAGTTTGTTTGCCAGAAGGTCATGGGGGACCTTGTCGAAGGCCTTACTGAAATCCAGGTACACTACATCCACTGCATTCCCCACATCTTGTAACTCTATCGAAAAAAGAGATCAGATTAGTCTGGCATGACTTGTTTCCATAGGAAAGAACAAGCTCTGTACTTCCTGAAACTACCAATGGAATGAATCAATTTGCACCTTGTATTTTATGCATTTTGGAAGGAAAAGAAATATACACCAAGATGTATTGACAAAAGCTTTCATGGCCAGAATCACTGGGTTGTTGTAGGTTTTTTCTGTCTATATATATGTTCTAGAGGCATTCTCTCCTGATGTTTCGCCTGCATCTATGGCAAGCATCTTCAGAGGTTGTGAGGTCACAACCTCTGAGGATGCTTGCCATAGATACAGGCAAAACGTCAGTAGAGAATGCCTCTAGAACATGCCCATATAGCCCGAAAAAAATCTATAACAACTCATACACCAAGATTCTAGATTCACCTGAAAAGAGTAAGCAACTAAAATGTATGCATTTCAAAATGTCCAGAAACATATTGTGGTCAGTGAGATCAGGATCATTAAGAAAATATGCCCAAAATATTATTAAAATGTGATTATTTTTTAAAAGTCCATTTCTATGCAGGAATAAAAGATTAAGGGAAACCTTTCTCAGCCAGTACAAAAATGGGACAGAACAAAACTAAAAATGGGAAATTGACAAATTTGCACATTTCAACTCAAATGCTTTTGCTTTACAGAGAGGCACACCTCTTAAGTGCTACTGAAATATGGATAGGTGTGGTGTGTTTATATGCCGTCAGCATGTTATCTGGTGTGATCATGTATATCCACAAATAAAGAGTGGACCTACCTGTGTTTAATGTGAGGAAAGCTACACTGCTCCCAGTGATTTACAGATGTTATGTGTGTTTATATTTCTCTCGATCAAAACACGTCTGAGCGGTTTGTGTTTTCCCACTGACTACAGTGAACGGATTACTGTGAACCTGCAATCTTAAGTATAGTATATAACTGGCATGGGAAACCATTTCAGAAAGGGGGCCACATGCCAGGCTTGGCCTGGAAGAAGGGTGAGGGTTGACACATGAGGTGTGTGTGTGTGTGTGGGGGGGGGCAGTTGGAGTAGCGGGGATCCCGAGGAATAGTTGGTGTACATAGGTGGAGAGGGGTTGACATGTGGCTGTGCAGGGCTCTCAGAAAAACCCTGTAGATACTTGTGTGTATGCAGGGTGCTCCTCTTTGCAGGTGGGGATAGTGGCCCACCATATTATCCCATGAAGTGGAGGGCTTACATGTGACTGCACAGAGCCATGTGTGACTGAGAGGGCTGAACCTGGGGCTATACCATGCAGCTGGGGCCTAGAATGGGGCCAGAGGCAAGAACCCAAAAGACTATATCCAGCCAACAGGCCTGGGTTTGCCCATATCTGGTATATAATCTCCCACTGGGCAGTTTAATACATGAGAAGATAGTTAAAAATCTCCAAAAGTTTAAAAAGCATATAAAAGTTATAACTTGATGCTGTTTCTGTTGCAACTCATAGTAAGCTTCACCTTGCTTCCAAACACCACCACACAAGAGCTGTAGTTTTATAGTTTATTGAGGAAAAAATCCAACTCATAATAAAGAATAAGCATTGCAAAATTCTAAAGATTAAGGTTAAAAGCAGAATACAGTTCCAAAGATCTTCAGGTAAAAACAGGAGACATAATCCTATTGGCAAAGTTCAAACCAGAGTCCCAGGTACAAGCAATGAAACAATTGCCCCATGAATCACAATGCAAGAAATCCCAAGTGTACTGCTTTCCAGGCTAAGGTTATTCCATGAAGCTTTCAGGCTAGTAAGTTACGTTGAACTGACGCTTTCTCAGAGTTTGCAAGAGGCCTAAATACCTTTCTAACATTAAAACATTAGGCTCTCATCATCATAAAAGCATTGCAACGACCTTTCACCGAGCTGGCTTCTCGTCTGCTGGCCAGACGAGAACTCCGACTGACCCGGAGATCAAGACGAGCTTGCCGGGTCAAGTCACTATCTACACTTTCAGTATCAGCATGGGAAGGCACCTGCTCGCTATCTCTTTCATTAAAATTCCTTTTTGGTGAGAACGGCTGTGTTGACACTGCACTGTCTGTGGGAGCCTCAGAAGCAGGCCCAGAGATTTGAGGCACAGACAAAGAGCCAGGAAGCTGGATCCCAGCAGGAATCTGAATCCCATCATCCTCATCGTCAGAAAATAGCTCAGGCACAACAGTTTCATACCTTAAACAAGAAATTATGAAGGAGGGTAGGAATTGTAACTGAAATCCCAACTAATCTGATTTCTTCTTTCTCATTCATAGTTTATCCATCCTTTCCCCCTAGTTCAAACTGCATTCCCCATATCTAGGTGCATGTATACTGTAGAAGTAATGCAGTTTGAGACGTCTTTAATTGCTATGGTTCAATACTTTTAGGATCATGGGAGTGATAGTTCTACAATTTTTTTAGCTTTCTCTGGTAAAGTGTGTTGGTATCGTATGAAACACAAATCCAAGGCTTCCACACACCAAGGCTTCCACACACCAAGTTAAAGTAATATCAGACACATTAAATTCTACAGTGTAGGGCACCTCTGTTTACTAGGCCTGGGTAACAACGGAAAAATTTGTTTCTAAAATCGATTCGTTTTTTGGGGGTTTTTGCGTTTCGATATTTAAAAGAATTCCGAAATGTTTCTTTTAAAAAGTTCGATATTTACGAAATTTCGTAAATGTTAAAAAATTTACGAAACATTAACGAAACAAATACGAAACAATAACGAATCGATTCGTTAATGGCGGATGCGACTGCGCAATACGCTAAAAAACCTCCAAATGGGACAGGGGGAAATTCTGAAGCTTCCCTCTCCCTCTGTTGTTGACTGTTGGTGTGATATTATAATTTTTTTTCACTAATTAAACAAAAAACAACTATAAAACTTGCCCCAGACATGCGGAAATAATAACGAAACGACCTCAAACCGATAATGAAACGAATACATAACAAATCCGAAGCATTTACGAAACAAATTTAAAAATTCGTTTCATTTTTAAGTAGCTCCAGAATGGTTCGTTATCGCTTCGTTATAAAAAAAAATAACAAATTTTTAACGAATTACAAATTAACGAAACGAAACCGCCCAGCCCTACTGTTTACCATTATGAATTTTATGTCAGTTTTCAGAGATGGTCAGAGCAGTTTTAGGTGTATTTAGAGGAGTTGAAATTAATCTTTGGAGGCACAACCAATTTTTGCATTACCTAGTAAGCTAAGACCAGGATTAGAATGTGTCAAAAGCTGATTCCTAATACACATCCCATTTTGATACTATAAATTACCCAATATTAAATCTATTCAATTGTTGCTTTTCCTATAAAAAACACACACTAGAAACAAAGGTTTTAATTTGAAGCCTAATAATATGCCTTTAATATTTTATTACATATTTAGTTATCTTAAAACCTTCTACATATTGTGACAAGCAGATTTCCTACAATAGGCCAAGTTACATGAACAGAACACTTTTTAAGAAGTAGCGAACATAAGCAAAAAAGTAAAAAAAAAAACCCAACTACACCCACTTAAAAGCTGCTGGTGTCAAACAATTACTTCTTCTGTTTTCCATATTTAAGTGACAAATTCTTTTCTATTTTTTTTTTTTAAATGGTGATGGTGGAAGCCCATGTTGACAAATAGTTGTGTGACACCTTAGAGGAATTGGTCACATCATAAATTTTATGCATACTATCATGCTTTGGTTCTGAGTGATTATAATTATATAGGCAATAGAATACAGAAAATTCAGGGAGAAAATGCCTTCTGCTCAGAAACAGCTCGTGAGGGTGTTAGTGTCAGAAAAAGAAAATCCAAATGGCTCCAGCTCTATCCTTGCTGGTATTAAAATATAATAATTGACAATGTGCAACTCTACAATAGTATCCCAAGTTAATGGTATCTCTGAACTGCATTCGAATCAAGCTCTTTCACTTGGCCTAGCTATAGAGATGACATTACTTTCTTTATTATTTTCTTTAAAGTAATAAAAACCATTTAAATTGTGTATGCATAATTTGGATGGAGTTCAGGATTGAATTCATACACTTTGCCCAAGAGATGCCCCAACACAGTCTCCAGGTTCCTATGGTAGTTACTCGTGAGGTCCCGGATCTTGTCTGTAGTTTCCCCATCTACTTTTGTCGATAGGTTACCTTGAGAGCCCATTATCTAGAAAGATAAAGCAAGACACACATAATGAGTTAGTAAAACTTACATTTATATTAGCTTTAAAGCATTCTATGGTGCAATGGTGGTTGTGCAAGGTAAGGAATTTATATTTCAACTGTTTTCCTTGTCTATTTCATGTGTATTCCTTCATAGATCTGTATCATCTTCTTTCCCTATCACTTTGGTGTATTGCATATGAGAAAATTTGCATATTTTCTTGTATTTTGATATCATTTTACTGTCAATTATGTTTGAGCCCAAACAACATGTTTGGGTTTTTTGGAAAAACCTGTTGAGATATATTGCAAAATTCAGAAAAATATAAATCTGACATTTCTCTCCATGTATTAGTCCATGAAGCCTTAGCACAACTGTTAGAAACAACCAAAGTAGATTTATTGTATCAGGCCAAGGGTCTGCATTGACATATGTGTACATAGCTATATAGCCATTCGGCTTGTTTGATTTAAAAAATGGTTGAAAACTCGTTTCGGATGTGGTTCAATTCTAAAGTTAATTCCGATTTTCACAGAAAAAAAATGTTCAAAACTTTGAAACTTCTGAGACTTCCGAATCCTTCCTTTGAAGCGGGGGGGGGGGGGGGGGGGGGGGAGCAAATGGAGGAAATTCATCCACTCTGGGTTAAAATGGCTTCTCTGGCTTGAGATAGAAGTGGGGGGAGAGGACAGGGAGGAAACTCATCTACTCTGGTTTAAAATGACTTCCCAGGCTTGAGACAGAAGCGGGGGAAGTGGAAAGGGAGGAAATTAATCCACTCTGGTTTAAAACAGCTTCCCAGGCTTGAGACAGAAGCAGGGGGAGAGGAAAGGGAGGAAATTCATCCACTCTGGTTTAAAACGGCTTCTCTGGCTAGAGCCGAGGCCAGGCACCAGAAATGGGGATAAGCTCAATAATTTCCGACTCACGTACTGCTTTGTAACAGAAATGGCGGAAAAAGCTTCGGAAGGGCAAAGGGACTTCTGGTTTCCTTAGAAATGTTGAATTCGCTTCAAAAAGCAAATCTTTCCAAATTTATTCCAAATTATGAAGATTCCAACTGAACCTAACCATGACTAATAGCCATGCCTCAGTAGCTATGTCTCTATGCTACCACCCTTAATTCACTTTGGATGCATCTACTCGGTAGAATAAATACATTGTTATCATATCTGCTCCAATTATCATGCCTTAATGCTATGGAATCCTGGGACTTGTAATTTGGCGAGGCACCAGCCCTCTTCAGCAGAGAAGGCTAAACACCTTGTAAAACAACAACTTTCACGATTACAGAGTATTGAGTCATGACAATGAAAGTGGCTTAAATCTGCATTAATTCTGCAGAGTAGACTCATCCAAGTTTTCATTCTCAAGACAAGTTAGAGAATCAAGGAGACACAGGTTTGCATGAAGTTCCAGAGGTGTGAAATCTGCCAAAAGGTCATGTTTGTTTTCATCAAGTCTGGCAAATCTAGAAAAAGTGATTTCTTTCTTTTTCATTGTAAGACAACTCCCAAAATTGCAGCAACCTGGCATGGCCACTGGGATTCTGGGGGTTAGAAAAGGAACTTTTTCAACTTCAGAAGCACAAACTTTATGTCAAAGAGGTCTTTTCTTCAAGAACTTGCACATGCAATACATTTAGAACAGAGGGAAAGAAGAAACACTTCTTCAGTGACTCCTCTTCTTCAGCTTAATTAGAAAATATATCATGATCTGATCACCATGCTCAATATATCCCATATGTATGGGGGTATTGGGGTAATGATACAAAAGGTTTGCTAGGCTAGACCCTCTTTCACTCAGACTCAGCACCCCCGAAACACCCCCCCCCCCCCCCCCCCCCCCCCCCCCCCCGAAACGAAATCCTGGCTATGGGCCTGGTCAACAGAATATTAAAATCTTTGTGCCCAGTGCATGTTCCGAAGGTGCATTATAGAAGAGTCATTCTGAACCTAAGCAGACAGTGGCTTTGGATAGTATCTGGACTCTTGACCATTGCATCTACCTGTTTTCAGGAAGAGCCTAAAAACCTGCCTTTGACGAATGAACAACAATCCCTTACTTTGACCAAATCCTGCATAAAATGTCCTTCAATGCACTTTATCTCACCCTTTAGTATAATTAAACCCCATTGTTTGTCCCACCTGAACCTCCTTCCAGATACACTACACTACTTATCTCAACTAGGGTTTTTAAATATTTTAGTCTGCCCACCTTGATTAATTATTGTGATTTTATATTGCATCTTGTGTTTATTTTGTTATGTTCTTTTATTATTTTTATTATATTTTTATTGATGTATTATTCTATGTTGTATATTTGCTTTGTTGTAATTTTTGGGTTTGGCCTCATGTTAGCCGTCCCAAGTCCCCTTGGGGAGATGGTAGCGGGGTATGAATAAAGATGATGATGATGATGATGATGATGATGATTATTATTATTATTTGAAACACAACAATATGAGTCCATAGCAAACAAGATCACTCTGCTGGCTGTTGTATTGGATCACACGTCGGACATTTCCCAAGTGTCTAGGACTGTGTGATGTATCGGTGAATAATGCGTGCAGATCCCAATAGGGTGGCCTTTTGCAGCTGGCAGATGGTAATCTTGTCAGAGCTGATTGTGTTTAAGTGCAGACCAAGGTCTTTAGGCACTGCACCCAGTGTGCCAATCACCACTGGGACCACCTTTACTGGTCTGTGGCAGAGTCCTTGCAGTTCGATCTTTAAATCCTCATATCGTGTCAGCTTTTCCAGTTGTTTCTCTTCATTCCTGCTGTCGCCTGGGATTGCAACATCCATGATCCACAGTCCGTTTTTTAATACGAACGCGAGTCAGGAGTATTGTGCTCCAAAACTCTGTCAGTCTGAATTCGGAAGTCCCAGAGTAGTTTAACGTCTTCATTTTCTGTAACATTTTTTAGGCTTGTGATCCCACCAGTTCTTTGTCGCAGGCAGATGGTATTTGTGGCACAAGTTCCAATGAATCATCTGAGCAACTGTGTTATGCCTCTGCTTATAGTCTGTCTGCGCAATCTTCTTGCATTATTATTATTATTATTATTATTATTATTATTATTATTATTATTATCTGGATGAGAGGCCACCTAGGAAATCTTACATGCATTCCTGCAAAGCAAGAGATTGGACTTGGTGGCCCTTGTGATCTCTTCCAGCTCTATTATTCTATTGATCTAATCACATGGAGGTTCTGAAGTCAGGGGACAGTGGGAGCATCAGTGGGACAGCGTGGTGAATTTGTCGGGCAATGGAAAAAATAATCAAACATCACCCCACATTGCCCTCTTGTCAGAGCATGCTGAAATCTTTCTAGCCATGGCTTGCTCCCACGCTGTCCCCAGCTTGTCCTATTTTTTCTTTGTCGTGGCAGGAACGACCTGAGAAACTGCAAATTGCTTCAAGTCGCTTCTGGTGTGAGAGAATTGGCCGTCTGCAAGGACGTTGCCCAGGGGACGCCCAGATGATTTGATGTTTTTATCATCCTTGTGGGAGGCTTCTCTCATGTCCCCGCATGAGGAGCTGGAGCTGATAGAGGGAGCTCATCCGCCTCTCCCTGGATTTGAACCTGCGACCTTTGGGTCTTCAGTCCTGCTGGCACAGGGGGTTAACCCACTGCGCCACTGGTAGCTTGTCCTATGAGAGCACGGTAGTCACCCATGTTCTCAGGACTGTCGCTCAGCACACTGTTGATTTGCAACATACACAGAGCCAACATAAAGCCCCACCAGAGGTAGACCTGTGCCATCTGATGGGTTCAGGTGGGCTCTGTCCTAGCTGTGTCTTGGCAGTATTGTTTGACCTCATGACTTCTACCTCTAATTAAATAAATGGCACATATCGTGTTGGTAGAATCTCATGCCATAGTGACAAGACAGAGGTGCTCCTGGTGAGTCAAAAGACAAATCTAGGAACAGAGATTCAGCCTCTTTTCAATGAAGTTACACTCCCACTGAAAACACAGATTCATAACACAAGCCAACAACTATTTTTAATCGGATATATTTTTAGATCATTCTTACAGAGTTTTTTTGTGCTGAATTCAGATCTGTGTTTATTTTTTCTCTATCACATGTTGTTTTGGCAATGGCGCTAATTGAATAATTAATGCATTTCCACACAAATATCAATAGAATTTAATAAATATCAGTGTGTTAATGCATTAATTATTCAATTAGCCTCATTGCAAAAATTACATGTTCTGTTGTGCGCTGGGCCTGTAAATAATTTCCTTTAGAACAGGACGTGCAACCTTTGCCCAGCAGGAAGCCAGGGGGTCCAAAGAGAAGTTCTCAGAGGTTTTCCACCACAAATGATCTTTAGATGGCTAGTGAAGTACAACAAAGTCTTTTATTAATGAACAATCAAACAGAAACTTCTCTTGTCTTCAGTAAAGTTAAGCAAATAATTCCAAGCTTTTAGGCAACTGGTGAATTCCTAATCTTGCCCACGAAGGACAGGCAACTGTCTTCAATAACTTCTTCTTTAAAGGAAAATCCCCTTTTTAACTTCTCCCAGGCTGACTGTAATCTAACCCTTACTGATGTGGGCTCCGCTACCGGGTCGAACTGCGTCTCGAACGCCGAGTGGACCTACCAGTAAGGCAGTAGACTCTTCAGCTGAGTTCTTTGGTCTTTAGGGCTGTTTTCCTGGAAAGTCTTGGATGGTCTTAAGACTGTTTTCCCCTGGAAAGTCCTCAAAGCTTTGGGGAGGCTTCCCTGGAGTTCTCTGGTTTGCTCTTAAGACTGTTCTCCCCCGGAAAATCTTAAGGGTTGAAGCTTTTGTACAGGGGAAGCTTGCACATGTCCTGTACATTAGCTTTCCTTGCTGAGACTAACTCAAAATGGCTCCCTTCCCTTCCCAATTGCCCTGAGCAAGGGCCAAAACTTAACGATGATGGACAGGTGACTTGCCCTATGACTGCAACCAAAAGAAGCCACCTATCTGCAGAGTCCCTGAAACCTAGGACTGCAATCAAAC